CTGCGCGGCTGAGTGGGAGAAACGAAGGAAGCAACGGGGAGGGGAAAAAAATATAAGCCAGAAGACTTTGAAACCTTCACCTTCTCGATGATTTTAGGTCGGCCCTGAGACTGCGGGGCTGGGATAGGAGTGGGACTGGCTTGTTCCCAGCCACATGTCTCTCACATCGCCCTGACCCCAAGAGCAAAGCTCCTGTCGCGGCGACGCGAGCAGCGTTGACAAGCCGGTACCTTACGGGCTCCCATCCTACAGCTGTTTCTCGCTCGTTATCTCCTCCCTCAGCCCTCAGGGTGGAGGCTCAACCTTCAGCTCCCTTTCCCCCATTTCCCTGTGCCTCTTTTTTAACTTTCAGAAAACACTGACACTTTCTACGTTACTTTTGGCCCGCCACACAGTTTCGGTGACCTTCAAAACTCAGCTCAGAGCAGAACGAGGTTTTGGCCGCATTTTCCGGTGTTGCCTGACCCAAAGCTTCAGGAATGTGATAAGAAAGTTGAGTTCTGAACCGAGCTGCCGATAGTGAGGTCTCTTTAATTAGGGCTTTATCAGAACCAGTCCTGATTAAAATGTGCTGAAAATAATTGAAAGTTGTACATCTGTTGGAGAACGGGGCCCGCTGGAGGCATCCAGTTGTTGGAGGAGCCCAGCTGGATGAAAGGCGAAAGAGAAGAAGAAAATGGGCAGAGGTTTCAAAGCCTTAGCTTCCTAACCCCCACCCCATCCCAGACTTGGCAGAAATGTCATCGCAGAGCCAAGGTAGCGTCTTTCCCACGGTCGGAGGAACCGTCTAAAAAAAAAAAAAAGAGGAGTTCAACCTTGAGGAGAGCCAAAGCAAGAACATTTTATCCATCCACAAAAAGAAAGAAAGAAAAAAAAAAAAGCAAACACCCTTTGCCGAATTCCTCCTTGCCGAAGGAGGAGCACCCTCTCTGCGTGCCGCCGAAAATAATTGTGGCTAAGCCGCAGTGCTGCACGTGTGGGGAGGGAGATCCGAGCCCAGGGGATCCCCCCGCCCCGCATCGAGGCAGCTCGGCCTGGCCGGAACACGGTCCCTGCTCCCCGCCACGGAGCCTTCTCCAGGCTCCTGCGGGGCCTCGGTGCCCAGGGCCGGGGAGGTGCAGAGGTGTCAGCCCCTCTGCCCCGGCTCTCCGGGCACGCACAGGTGCGGGGGTGTGCGGGGCTGGTGGTGCCGCGGGCCGAGCACCGCCCGCAGGGCGCCGAGCCCGAGTAAAGCCCAACGTGGGCTTTGGTGGGTTAAAGGCTCCGTTTCTCCTCGGGGTGGTTAAACCAGGACGATGGTGGTTAAGCAGGATGGCGCGGGGTCGCAGCTGTTTTGTCCCTGGCTAACGCAGGGCCGAATTTATTTCCCTCACCCTTCCCACCATCTTCTCGTCGCTATTTCGGCCCAGCTATTACAAATCCTCTCTGATGTCTAAAATCCTTTCAGATGTCTTTTAAAACTCCCCGGCAAAGCCTTTGTCCCGGCGGGCTCTGTGCCGCTCCCCTCCCGTCCCGCAGCCGGAGCCTGGGACCCCGCGGGACACGGAGCTGCTCCGGGACCTCGGCGAGGCCGCGCCTCTCCCCAGCTCCAGGGATGCTGCCAAGCCGGCACCGGCAGCAGGGCTCTGCGGTTTCCGACGTTGGATCCCGGCGCCGAGCGGACCCCGGGGGCAGGGGCGGGGGGTCGAGGGCAGCAGAGCGGTGGCATTGAGACTGCGACCTGGCACTGCCCGGGGGGGCTCGTGCGCGGCCGCGCTGCCGAACAACCCCTTCCCCTCCACCGCCACTGCCTCTCCTCTCTGCAAACATCGCTCCGGAGCGCCTCGGCGGCCAGCACCGAGCGCGTCCGTCCGGCCTCGGCCTCGGCTCTGCCCCTTGCCCTGCCGACAGCGAGCGCGGACAGCCCGAACCGGGGATGGTCGGTCCCAGCCCCTCTCCGTGGGTACGCGGTTGACCCTGCAGCGCACAGCCGAGCCCGAGCTGCCAAAAGCAGCGAGACGCCGGCGACTCATCCCGCTCTGGCCGAGCCACGCACCCCTTCCCGGTCCCCTGTCCCTCGGGTTTCGAGGCCGCCACAGCCCCACTCCCCTCGGTCAGACTCTCCCGGCGCCTCGCCCGGGGCGGGGGAGTGCAGGGCAACTCACTACATCCCGCGGCTCCGGGGCCAGCTGAAGGAGAGGGAACAAGACTCGAAAAGTCTCGGGTAAGCTCCTCTCAGGCTGTCCCCTTTTCCCTTCTTCCTCGCGTTTGCACCCACAGATATTTATACCGCAGCCACTGGAAGAAAAACGATTAGATGCTGATCCCGGTGCCACAGGCAGATGACCTGTCGCCCGGCCCTGCAGCCCACGGGAGTTTCTCAGGGCGGTGCAAACACCGGGGACCGCAGAGAGCTACAAGCGTAGCCGGTCCTGGAGATGCTGACAAGAAACGACGAGGCGGCCCTGTTTGTGCACTCCCGCCCGGAGGCATTCAGCCCTCCCGAGGTCAATTCGACAGGGGGCTTGAAAACACTAACGTGCGGACGGCGCTTTTCAGATTCAGGAGGAGGTTTGGAGGTACTACCCACACACACCCCCACCCCATCACCCCCAAGATATGTAGAGGGAATTGTCTCGGGCCACCGGCCCCACCTCCATTCCAGGACTTGCGCTGTCTCCGGCCCGAACAAACCTTTGCGAAGGCGAGAGGCTGCTCCAACCCGGGCAGGGGGCCTGGGGGCTCCAGCCGCCTGGCAGAGCCATCCGCTGCCCCACGGGAGGGGTGGGGGGGAGCAAATCGTGGCTCCTAAAGCTCCCCGGAGCGACGCGGCTGCCGCACAGGGAGGGAAGGGAGGCAGGGGGAGGCTGGCTCGCCTGACCCGGCTCGGCTGCCGCGGAGACTGGGCTTGCTGTTTACACCAGGCGCAGCCCGGCTCGGCCCGGCTGAGTGGGAGCCTTCGGGGGCCGCCCCCCGAGCCCGGGGCGCCCGGCAGCGCGGCCCTTACCCTGGTTGCGGATCGCTTGCTGGCTCTCCAAGCAGTTGGGCAGGTAGGGCCCGTTGGGGAACATCCGAGCCTGGCCCGAGGGCGGCTGGCTGGGCGGCGGAGCGCCGAAGGGCCCGTAGCGGCAGGCGCCGGCCGTGCCCGTGAACTGGCCGGAGAAGTGGACGGTGAAGGCGCTCAGGTATTGCTCCTCGTGCGGGTCCGACCCGTTCCAGCTCGGCTCCTGCTTGATGAAGGAGTGCGGCCCCAGCGAGCCGTAGGAGGCCCCCGGGGGGAAGTCCAGGACGGGCGCCCACTGCGCAGCGCTGCTCACCGGCATGGTGCAGTTGCTGTTGCCCGGCAGGGAGGGCACGGAGGGCAGCAGCGCGTTGAGGTCTCGGACGTCGGAGCCCATCTGCTCGCAGACCTTCTGCCTGCCGCCGGGCAGCCAGTCTCCCCCCGGGCCGCACTTGTTCCAGGACACCTGGCCCCTGCCCGCCAAGCCGGAGGCCGGCTCCGGCTGCAGGCACCAGGCCGAAGAGCTCAGCCCTTTGGGGGAAGTTTGCTCCGCGACGCAGCTCCCCGGGTCCAGCCCTGCGGGAGCCGGCAGCAGCGACAGGGAAAGGTTGTTCTCCAGGATCGCCTCCGGGGTTGCACCCGCTCGCAGCGCAGGGCAGGGGGGGGTGTGCCCGTGTCTGTGTGTCCGCGTGTGTGGCGCGTCTGTCTGCGCGTGTGTCCGCCTGTCCGTGCTAGGGGGGCACAGCCGCCTCGCACGCCTCACCTCGGATGCCTGCTCACCCTCAACTTTGCAAAGCTCAAATAGAGGCGCTTGCAGGGGAGGAGGAGTCAGCACGCCGATCCTCCATTCACACAACCTCCGCCGAGGGGCTGCCCACAGCCCGCTCTGCTGAACCCAGCCGGACCAGACACACGGGGGGGAGGGGGTAGACGAGGAGAGCCGGGGATGGAGGGGGAGAGGTGACTGTGGGAGAATATATCTCCCCTACGCATCACTCCCACCCTTCTTCTGGTGCAAGCGCCACTAAATCTCGCCCTAACGTCCCTTCGCTTTGGGAGAGACTTGCAAGATTGTTAGAAGGGTCCAGGTGGCCAGTAAGTACGTGCTGGATGACTTCCCCCGCCAGCTCCGTGCATGTCCGTGGGGACTCCGGAGGGCAGTGGGGTCGCAGGCCCCGGGGACAGCCCGGGGAAGCCTCCGCCCTTGCGGGAGCCGGGGGAAATGACACAGTCCTTTACGGGCGGACCCCGTTCCTGCGAGGGGAAAGTGCCTTTCCAGGTGCTTCTCTCCCGCTACGGGGGGAACCTGCGTCTCCACGAGCTCCTGCGGGGTCCGGGCTGCCTGCCCGTGGTCCCGCCCCTCACACCGGCTGTTCCCTGTCCCTGGAGGCGCAGGGCCGGCCGTGCCAGGGCACCGAGGGCTCCGCCGGCGAGGGGAGGGGTGGGCGCCCTTTGCAAGGGGACCGGGTTCGGCGTGTGCCCAGTCCCGACCCTGACCCTCCGACCTATCTGTACGTGAGAGGGAAGGAAGGGCTGAGCTGGCGGGGGAGGATGGCAGCGCTGTGAGCAACCTGCTTTTGAGACATTCACCTGGCACTGCTCCTGGGAAGCCCCGGAGTCTCTCTTTCCTCCCCAGCCTCCTGGACAGCAGCTCCTCAGCGCGCATTCCTGGGCAGCGGCGGCAAGGCCCCCGAGGGCACCTTACACCTCATCCCCGGACGGTCCTCTCTCCCAGGAGACACGGCGGGTTTCGGGGCGGCCCTGGCAGCGAGGGGTGCCATGATTCTGGCGGTGCGGGAGCCCACCTAGACCGACTGTCCCGGCAGGAAGCCCCCGGGGACACGCTCTCGCCCCCGCCGGACACGCTCTCACTAAAGGCAAGAAGAGGGATCCTGCCGCCTTCCTTTGGAACTACTAATTAAAAATCAGCCGGGGTGGGGGATTTTGCTTCTACGAGCACACGTGGGACAGCTCCCGAGGGCTGGCCCCGGCGCAGGGTACTCGCAAAGTACCAGACCCGCCGCTCTGTCCCTTGCGCATCGTCCCCGGCCGCTTTTAAACCGCGGCACCGCAGATGCCTCCGGGGTCCCCCCCCCCGCAGAACCGCGTCCTGCCCGCACCTCACCCCCCTCTGCAGGGAAAGCAGTGACAGAGACGCCGTAAACGCTTACCTGCCGCAGGACAGACCGACCCTCCTGTCTTCCCGGTGATAATGTGCACTTTCCGTGTTTCCTTCCCGCCGCGGCACCAAAGGTTAGCGCCAGCATCGCCAATTTTGAAGCGATGTTTTAAGATTCAAAGGGTAAATTCTACAGAAAAATAAATCAAAATAGGTCGTTATTGGTGTAGCCAAGTATAATTTCATATTCTCTTAAAACTAATTGACCGTAACAGTAGGATTTTGTTATTAGTGAAATTACTTCATTTTTTCACAAACTATCTTCAGATAATTTCCCTTAAAAATCTCTCTTTTGATGCATAAATCTACTTATTACAGAAATCCACGTGTAACGTAAGTGCGAAAGATTCGTTTATCTCTGCCGATAGTAAATATCCCCTAAGCTTAGAGGATCTGCCGCTTCTTAAGAGTCTTCAGCAAACTAAAGCACCCCCGGATGGCGCTTGTGAAGGCAGCCCATGCCCGTGCGGGGGGACTGCGCTGCCCTCACTGACACCGCCGGCCGCGGCGCTTGCTCCCGCTCTGCCTCCCGCTCTGCCTCCCGCTCTGGCCGCACCGGGGCTCCCGCACACCGCGCTCGCCCCCTGCCCAGAACCCGCAGAGGCCTTGCGGGGCCGCGGGAAGGTGCGGGATCGGGAGCGGGGCTGCTGCCGGGTTTGCTCGTTTCGGGGGCGGACGGAGACATGAGGTTGGTTGGACTCGATAGCTTAAAGGTCTTTTACAGCCTAAACGATTCTCTGTTCGATTCTATGATCTTCGCCTCTACGATGGACCACGCACACACAGAAATAGAAGTCTTAGGCCAGCCTAAGCAGGGTATTTAATTTCCCATGAAAACTAGACCTCTCTTGGTAAAAACAGAAACAGCCTTTCCCGCAGTGGGCTGTTTTTCGAACTAGTGTGGGGGTTTTCTCTTTTCTTGAATTAAACTAGCTTGATAAATCTTCCTGCAAGGAAAAAAATGATTTCTTGATCGCTTAGGTCTGCCGTTATTCCACCTGGGAGGAAGAACTGCCGAAGCCTTTTCGAATCTTCGCCTCTCTCGCATATCCCAGCGGTGAAACAAGATGACCCCTTGTCCATCAGCGCATCCTCCCTCCCCGTGGCTGCCAGCAGCCCCAGCGAGGATGGGGAAAGCAGCGCTCGACCGGGGGATTCCTGGGCTGCCAGCTCAGCTCAGCTCAGCTCAGCCCTGCCCCGGCACCCAGGGCTGCTCAGCCGTGCGGGGAAAGGAGAGAGAGCCCAGCAGGCGCGTCCCGGGATGTCCTGGGAGAAACCCTCAGCGGTGGAGCCTGAGGAGGGGGAGGAAAGCCCGGACCGTTCTATCCCGGGACGGGCTGGGGACTTTTGGGAAACGGCCAGCGCCACTTCCCGCAGCCGTTCCGTTCTAGCCAACACCAGGGAGAGTGAAAAATCTCCTCTAGCCCAGGCCGGGAGCAGTGGCGGCAGGTGCCCCCGGGGGCGCCCCGGCAGCCGAGAGGAGCTGCTCCCCCCGTGCAGGGGACGCTTTGCCCGCCTCTTCCCCAGAGATCCCGACCCCGATTCCAATCACATGCGGCGTAAATCTCTCCAAGTCCCGCACACCGGGAAAACCCAGTTGAAAACAATGGCCGGGGAGAGGTGGCAGTTCTGGGACAGCATCTCCTTTGTCCATGTCCAGACCCAGGCGGCCCGGAACGTTTTGCCCTCTTTCCTTCAAACACGGCCCTATCCAAATCTGTGACAGGCAGCAATTAGGCTTCATTGTGCTGCCCGTTGTTCCATAGCTATGGTAATTCCTGATAATGCTTAATCTTCGATTGCGCTCGAAGGCACACTCGACAAGATTAAACAACAGATATTTACCGGAGTAGGAGTATTCTATTGAGAGTCCCACTTGATCCTGGGAAAAACAGGATCGGGAACTTGCTCCAACCTGAGCAGCGCTGAAGGACCTCCCCAGCCGATGTTTTCCCGTTCCGCTTCCCTCCGCCATACTAACCAATTAAGGGATCGGTAATTCTTACTACACTTTTACTAAACTCATAAATGATCCCCGCGCGGCTCGGGGGTGGGGGAGACTGACTTAAACAGAGATAAATCCCCAGCCCCTCCACGCCTGCTCACGCCGCTCCCAGCACGCAGGGGGATCTGTCTGCTTTCACTCAGGGAGCTGATCAGAGTTTGATTATTTAAGCGCCAAGAGCAGCAGAAACAAAGCTGCGAAGCATCTCCAGGAGCGCAGGGCGCGGAGGGGCACGAACTCATCACTACGGGCCCGATCCCGCATTCCTCACTGCCGAGCGCTGCGGGCGCTGCGGGAGCCGGGATCCGCGGGCAAGGCGGGACCGGCCTTCCCTGTCCGGGCTGACGGGGGCACTGGAACGCTTTCGAGCTGGATAGAGGACATTTTGTTCATCCGGTGAGGGGAAATGAGTTTGGGGGTTTTTTTGTTTTGTTTCAGGTTTTTTTTTGATGCACAAAGAAGGGAAGATGCGCGACTTCTCCCCGTCCCTCTGCTGACAGGAGCGGGGCACAGGCGGGTCCCTCCGAGGCGGGACCCCGGCCCGGGGCGGGCAGCGGCGGGGATGGGGAACAGCCCGAGGGGTGCTGAGCATCTCCCTTCGCCCCGGTTCCTTCCCCCGCTGGCCGCGGCGAGGGCCGCCCCCCTCCCTCCAGCGCCGAGCCCGCCGTGCAGCGGCGGCGGGCCGGGCTCGGGCCACTGCCGTCCCGTAAATCTTGGGAACGCTGGAACTAATTACGGAGAGGATATGTCTCAATTTGTTCCGCATTAGTGCCGCGCCGGGACGCAGGCACCGAGCACGGGAAATTGATGGGCCCGGCCCGGCCCGGCCCCGCCGGGACCGCGGCCCTGACCCCGCGTTCAACCCGCGGGGCGGCCCCGCTCCGCCTCCCGCACCTGCCCCCGGGCGGTGCCCGCAGGGCTGCGAGGTGGGGCTTCAGCCGGCGGCGAGGTACCACTCCGACAAATTTATTAGCGTGCTGCTAAGACGAGGCTCAGTATAAATCACGGGGCTGTATAGGGCCATAAAGCATCCCCGTGTATCCTGCCCTCGCCGGGGTGCTGGTGAATAGGAGTTCATGGAAAGCCGGGTATCGGTAACATCTTTCAGATCTGGCGTGTGTGACGTTTTTAAAGTCTTAGATATACAATGGGATATACTAAAACTATTACATAGAATTTTTATAGGTATTTGGTACTTACATACAAAAGAAATTTGTGGGGAAAAGGTTCTTAGGTAATATGCTCAGGTCTTCACAGTACCTCTAATGGCTTTGAAAGTAATAAAATTATCGTTTTGGCAGGGGAAAATAAAAATATTCTAAAACTTAGTACATTATAAATGGATGTAAGGTGAGATCTAAGGAATTAATTTCTCCCTGGTTGCAGAATGCAGATCCCACTATAAAGGCACACTGAACTCGAAATGTAATAATATAGAAACAAATCAGTAACAATACCTTGCATGGACACCAATTCAAAGAATTCTTTGAGCCACCTGAGCACCACCTTTGAATGTGGGTACACATTGGAAACATAAACCAAACATTTATGCATTCAAAAGAGAAAGGCTCCAGCTGAAGTGTACCTGCTGTCCCCAGCCACACACTGCAGCATCCCCGGTACCTCACGGGTAAGGAAAGGCAGGTCTCACTGACTGTTGGGTATTACAGGACAGGGGCAGAAGATGAATTATTCTTTACCAGTTTCTCCAGCAGACTGTCCATGAACATGTTTTCTTAAACACTAACCATCCATGCCTTTATCTTTCAACTTTGTTCTTGAACAAACACACTTTAACAATGCAAGCAACGTCCAAATCTCACTTTGCTCTTGCAAAGTCCTTTTTCAGCCCTGTGTAAAGATACTCTCTTGACCAGTCCTCCTCAGAGGGAAACTAGGGGCTCCATTAAGCTGCTCTGTCTTAGGTGAGGCTCTAAACCCCTTTTCACTGAATTTTGTTCTCATCCTACACACCTCAGAGGAATTCTTCCCTGTAAGCTCTTGACTAAGGGTGCTGTACAACAAGACTGGTCCCACCGAAATCATTGCTTAAGGATGTCAGTCCACCAGGACTTGGCCCAGGCAGTGGGGAAAGCCAAGCATGTTCTCTGCCTACAGATATTTGGTGAGTGTAGAAGACAAGCCGTGGGGACAATGTGCCTACTGCCTAAACCAGAAGAGAAACGAAAGCTCCTGAGTTCTGTTTAATACCTCCTGCATGCTCCAGAGAAATGGAAGAGGTGACAGTAGTTTTGCCAGAACAATGGGGGACTCCAGCAGTATTTGTGGAGTGCTGGGAGACCTTGAGTAAGCAAAGAAATGCAGATGGCTACATTATACAGCACAGCTCTGTGCGATGTGTCAGTGCTGTGACCCGTGAGGGGGTGGCAGGGCTCGAGCTGGAGACGTATTGCAACACAGCGAGTCCCTCCTCCCAGCACAGACCCGCCAACACCCACGGCTCCTTCACAGCCCGGGCAGAGATTCCACGGCCCCCAGTCCTCCAGCACAGCCCTGTAGCTTCCTTAGCAACTGAGCAAACCCAGTCCTTCCTTATCACAGCTCCATGAAGGTGCATGTGTCTTCTCTGTCTCTGGACTACATGTCCTGATATGTGTGCGTTGCAGCAAAAAGCAAAGGCCATTTTTCTCATCTAGTTGGCTGGAAGCAACCGGCAGCAAAAAATGTAGCTCCAACTGAAACAAAAGTTTTCCCAGTTCTTGATTGTGAGCCTTCAAACTCAATATGTTTTTTTTTTCTTCAAAACTGAAGCTTTACAGCCAGTCTCTCCCCCTTGTGCAGGTATCACATGCTCTGTGATACACATGATATCACAGGCTGTGTAGGTATGGGATGCCTGGTCTGGCCACGAGCATGAACAGCCATCTGAAAACTCCATGGCTGCAGGTCATCAGCCCGACAGAGACCTGCTACAAGCAGAGAAAGAAGCCCTGGTGTCCTCCACAGAATCAAATACAATCCCACCAGGCTATGGAGGTGCCTGCATGGCTCTCATCAGCCTGTCACTGCAGGACTGGGCTGTTTTCACATCTGTGTTTGTCACTGTCCAGCTGCAGCCTCTACTGACCCTACTGCCACCAACAGACCTGTCTCACAGGGCTCGT